GGTTGATGGAGGTGTATCCAAAGCTTACTTGCTAACTACTATAGCTTTCTTCAGTGTAGCTGTTGGCTTCAGGCTGAAACAGGATACACTTAGCTCCTTAGATGGATGACAATGGCAGCAAACAGGAGCCTTGAGCACCAGTCCAATAGGCAATTATGTCTTGTCAAGTTCTAAATCAATGTAATTAAGGATAGGTAAATAGGTGATGGTTGGCAACTTCTCTGTCTAATTGAATCCAGCAACATTGGTTTGCTCAATGCATTACTGTAAGCAGGACATGAAAAGTGTCTTTCCTCTCATCCTTGGTTTGGATAACAGAAATTATGAGCAACAGCTTCACAAAAGTGAACCTTCCTGTCCCTTACAAATATTCTTAACTCCTTCGGTTGTTTTCAGTGATATTTTTTTCTATTTCTAAGCCAATACAAAGAGTTTGTTTCTGGGATTCTTTTCACAACAATGGATATGCAGCATTTGCAACTTAGATCCCAATACTTGTTGTTCACCAGTTGTATAGAATTGTCCACAATGGGCTTAATTGTTTTCATTATGGCTGATGAGTTGTATGATGTTAACGTATACAATAGGAGAGTACCATACGGAATCACTGGTGTACATTAAAGTCAACTTAATAGCAAAACAAGTATCCAACTATGCTTTTCTTTTTTAACTGCAATGATATTATCCCAGAGATACAAAAAAAAAAAAGGTTACAAATTTCCTGGTTTTCAGTGGATAGATGTTCTGGCACAAGTCACCATGTTGAAAAAATGGTTTCATCACTGCAGGATTTTTTTCATATTTTAGAACTTCTAAAAATGCTAACTGTGAAAACAAAACTATTTTTGTGCAAAAAATGAGAAACACTATGGCTTTTTGAAACACAATACTGGGGTTTTTGTGCCAAAATATTTGGGCTTCATGCAAAATAAACTTTTACAAAAATGTTTTCAAATTTTGTTTGATTTTGAAGCAAAAAGAAAATAATTGATAATGTTATATCCATGTAACATGGGTAGGTTTGCAACCCATTTGAAACAGGCCTCTTCCTCATTAATGAAACCAGGAATTTGCAAATCAAAAGTGGAAAGGGAAGGTTTTTTCTTCACCAGACTTAGGGAAAGGGTTGGATATAAAATCTTAATGGTGATTGATCTCATAACACAATTGATTGAAATCTATCATGGCTGGTTGGATTCTGTGTGCTTGTTTTAGCTTCCCTCTTCGACTTGTGACTGAACATCAGGAGACAAATTTGATTTGGTGGTGTTTGTCTTTTTCAGCACTCAACTTCTGCAGGAATTTTATTGACTTTAGGGAGTTTTGTTTGTTTGTTTTAACCTAGCTATGGGGTTTCCTACTGAGCTTTTTAAACGAGAGGCACATTAAGTGAATAAGTTGGATGAATGCTATAAGCTGTGCAATTAGTGCAACAAAACAGTTACATGCACTTAATATGTACAAATAGCATTTTGTGCCATTTACAATGTAATGAAATAAACAGGCTTGGTAATAGGATAGTAACCAAAATACTGGTGTTATTGTCACATCTAGTTTACCCAGATCATCATCATCAACTTTGTCATTATCATCATTGTGCTCATCATTTGCATTTCTCTCCCATCTTATTCCCAAGGAGCTCAAGGTGACATCCTCATCTCCTTTTTTAAATATACAAAGGATCAAAAGACTGAAAGTTATAGTAGTCAAAATTAAGACTGGCATCCTGTTAGTGACTTGTGAAGGCATTCAGTCCAGTTTAACTCAGTATTGGAAGCCTTGTTGAGACTGACATTTTCTACTGTCTGACAAACAACCAAATCACCCTCTTCCCCATCTTCTTTTGAAGCAGTTACACAGCCCTCCATATGGCCATTTACTGATGGTTAGAAACAGTAGAGGTGGCAAGGTACTTTCTAGCTATGTCTATATAGTTGGATGCACAGCAATTCCATCATTCTTCAGGCTGTCTGGAGGACCCTTAAGAGATCTTCAAGGATACCTTTCCATTCACCAGCCTCCTGCTATTATTTATTTATTTACCGTACTTATATACAGCTCTTCTCAGCCCGTGGGTGACTCAGAGTGGTTTCTATCCACTTGCCAGTGAATGGCCATGTTGGGAAAGACTGTTACAGTTCAAACAGTGGATTGGCGGTTTGGCTAGACAGACACATCATAATTTCATCTGTGAATAATTTTGCAATACATTTCCCAGTCTAAGATCTTGGCTGTATCTCATATCTTGACAGCACCAGGTTACAGACAGTTGTTCAGTTTCTGATAGATGAAGTTTTGTACACTTCCAGAGACAGATGGGCTGATTTATCAGTTACTGCAATAAATTGTTGGGGCAACATTGCACAAAGTGTAAAATGGATACATTTGGAGAATCTGGGGCATTGATTAAAATGTATCTTGCGTTCTGGCATTGGATGTTGTTCAGTCACTATTGGATATTGTTATAGTGGAAATCTGTGAAGGTGGCCAAACTATGAATAGCATAATTTGGGGTGTGTTTTAGGAGATTTAGTAGAGTTAAGGGGGGTGAGTAGAGTTGAGCTGCTTTGAGTCACCTTTAAAGCAGTATATAAATGAAAATGATGATGGTGATGATAATGGGTAAATATTTGCAGTGTACAATATTATGTCCAGATCCAAATCTTGGAAATGATCTTTTTTCAGAACTATAGCTCTAAGATTCTCTCAATCAAATCTAAAACTGTAACAACCTTTCAAATGTTGTGTGACAGTTACAATCTGGCCAAATACAGACCTGAAGAAAAATTGGTATTTTCCACAAAGCAGAAAGGAGATTGAATCAATTTCATTTCCTGGTATATTGTGCTTGGATTTGCTCCCACACTCCTGCTATATATAAGAGGAGTAAGAGCTGGAAAGCATTCTCAAGTAATCCTGGGCAGCCTTTCTTGAATTCCAGGCTGCTCCTTACACAAAGCTCTCCAGTGTTTTGTCCAGTCTACTTCTAGATGATTCAGCTACTGAGTAATCAGCAAAAGTCCCAATGTTATATTCCCTCATGTCCCACTTATGAGGACTTTTAGCCCAATACAATGATTGTGAGTCATTTTTCTGTCATTATTAAATCAGCGTTATTGGACAATAGGTGTTGGTTAAACCAATGAGGCAGTTTCTAGGAGAGCCCAGAAGCAGCATACTGTGGTCTACAATGTGGAATAGTCTGCAAAGAATCTTAGGATGAAGGAACATTCCTCATATTGCATTAAACTAACTCATGTTTATCAATATGCAAAGATGAAATTGGTGATTGGTCTGTTTCCATTTAGAAGAATCTCCTGTTAGATTCTAAGGTAAGGGGATGAAGCAATTTTAAATGTCTTATTTGATTACTGTATGAATGGATTTGCCAAGATTTTTAACTAATATTTTAGGATTGCCATGCATGCAGTATTTACTTTAATTAATAACAGGGATGGGTGGGTGATTCTATTTAATCAGAAGTTACCAGAAATCACAAAAGTAGCATTTGGGAGGATTTGAAACGGATAGATTTGTCCACCACCAGTTAATGAAAGGGATGAAATATAGGTCATCTGGATGAGATGCCTCCCATCATTCTTGGCTAAAGAGCTGCTATTTAGGTCATCAGGAAGACTCAGCAAAGAGTAACAAGAGGAAATGCTCTGTAGCACTTGACCATTGTTGAATGATGTCAAGTATATAATAGAACTAATACGAAAAGTGAAATCTTTTTAGGTGGAAGGGGAGCTTTTGAGAAGGAAAAACATTCTATTATAAAGTTCCACATTTGGTTAAATAAGCAAATGCTTTACAAAGCTGTCAAGAAATATCAAATTTGTTTGGTTTGGTTTTTTTTTTAACAAAGTCAGTAATGTAGGGTGAACTGAGCAGAAAATTAATCCCTATTCAAAATAATAATTAGAACTAGATGTATGTGTTGTCAGTAGGCTACTTGAATATGAATGCCCCTTTCCTCAATCCCAGATTGGCAGTGATGATTGTCTATGATATCAGATCCAGATAGAATGAAAAAAAATTCAGATGGTAACCAAAAGGCTGAGAGCTCAACTTTTGGTAGTTTTTAAGTAGCTATTGCTTTGTGATGATGTTGAAATCAATGTAATACTGTGACAAACAACCAAGATTTTTTCAACACATCCTATAGAAAAAAACTTTAATGAAGTATTTTGGGAAAATCTATACAATTATTAAAAGGTGTTTTCTCTCTCAACTTGCTATGTATGTATGTGATACAGGGTAAGTACTAATTTTGCAGAGATGGCAGTTCTGTGGAAAGTATATTTGATGCCTTGGTCAAACAGTGGAGGCACTTTAATCCGATGTGGGGTGGAATCTCCCTTGACGGGACTGGAGGATCCTCTAGACATAGTTTCATCATATCAAGATTGCCAATTTTGTCATAAATCTAGATTTTTTTTTTCATTTTTGGCAGTCTTGACCTCTTTAAAGCCATTTGCTTTTGAATTTCAAATGATAATATAGTCTTTGAATTTCAATACTCTAATGCACCAGTGTTCCATGACACTCACTGTGTTAGCATTTATTCTTAAACTGAGAATTTAGGATTTGAATTGGCCATCTTTAGAAACGATTATAAAGCCTGTGGACAGTCGACCCACGTCTGTAGCTGAGACCTATTTCTGAGATCACAACTCTTAAAAGCAAACTTTGGTTTGTTTGAATTGAATATTTCTTGAGGAATTCTGTCCTTGCACAGTTATCCTAGTGGAGCAATAGCTTTAATTGACATTTTAAATTAACCTTTTCATTTTGTAAATAAATCTGTAACTACATGATCAAATTGCAAAACACACTCAACAAAAATGCTTCCTATGAAGCACATGCTTGTATGATTGTCAATATATCTTTTTACCTCCTTTATAGTGCTCTGATAGATTAAGCAGACCTTCTTTTCTCTGTAGAAATGGTTCTCTGAATTTAACCGAAAATTAAATATGTTGTGTTTTGTTTTGCAGGGTTTGTTTTGGACAGCTGGAATGCGGTAGCTTGAAAGAGTCCATCATCCATGACGCGTTGGGATTATCATGATTGCATACTCCATTTTGATTTTAACCAGTGGCCAAGAGGAGTGCATGGTCGACAGGGAGGATTGGACTTTTAAAGACAGTACAACAGGTAGGAGGCCCATGAAGTCAGTTGGCTTCCTGACATCTTTACAAGACTTTAAAATTGAACACTAGCTATCGATTCCACTGTGTATTGCTTTTTAACTTCTTTCCCTTAATAGGTACAGCAGATGGCTTGACATAAAAGGTGCATTTTACTGTGAAACCTCAGGAAAACATGTGTAGTTTAATGGGTCCTTCATTTCTTGAGATGCACAAAGGTTAAAAAGAGAACATGCATTAAAGAGGTATAATAAAATTAATCACATAATTCAGAATGGCAGAATGGAACACACAGACTGTTCAGACATTATATTTACTGTCTCACTCAGGCAATGACAAGGTAAATACTTGTTTAGCCATAAAAAGAACTAAAAAAGAGATTCGATTTGCCAGGTTAGAATTCTTGCAAAAGCAATCACATTTGTGTTCTTTTTATATCCCCATCAAACTTCTGCTGTACAAACACAGATGTGAAGAGCACATTTCAAATTGAGATTCCCCATTACCAAAAGGACAGGAGGGAGGGGGAAAAACACCTTTCCTCCCCCAAGAAAATCTATGTGCTCACATTTCTCTTGGCTTCTGCCTTTCCTTTGATGGGGAAAGTCACACTGAGTGCAGGGAAGGAGGTAGTCTCAGGTTTCTAAAGGATGGAACCATAACAATTACATTGGAATAATAGCCAGGCTCTATTTGAAAACCATGCTTATTTAGAGTGAGTGCATCCCAAGACTGTGATTCACTGGCTGCATGTTAGAGGATTTGTACAAAAGTAGTTCAGTAATCTCTGAGGTTGACCATAATGTCCATGTTTTGGTGTTGAGGCGGGTTCTCCTTTTGTGATTCTCTCACACATACATTTCTGGGTGGCCTGGTACATTTCACAGCAGATATGGGGAGTGAATCATCATCATCATCATCATCATCATCATCATCATCATCATCATCATAGGCCATCACTTGTATCTAAGTGTGATTGTCTTCCAAAGCTAAGTCCTGGCAGTGAGTAAGAATGACTGGATTCATATCCACCCCCAATTGTCTGGTTCATAGCTAGGGTTTTCCAAATGTCACAGTTCTAGCCCTGTTGCCAATCAGTCATTGCAATGGGACCTTTGTTGGTTTTGGTTTGATTGGAAGATGCCTGTGGGTGAATTTATTTTATGTGTTGGGATTGGTACACAGTAACCAACACACACTCTTCACAGAAAGAGGTTCTAATACAATGGCAGGGATACAGTCATGATTGGTTGCCTCTACTATGTTGCAGTATTTGTCCACCTTCACGGCCGTTGTAACACAGATCATGTTATCATCTACCTATTCTACCATTGAGGACTACCTCGGATCGTTCTATGTAATACAGAAGACACAATGTAGCTGTGTCTTTCTGGATGACTGCCTCCCATTCAGTGGCCAGCAGAAAGGATTGAATATTAGAGCTTCAATGCCACCAATAGTTATGACTGATGATGAGAAGATACAGCTCATGTCTAATGATATGATCAAGAACGTCAAATTCCCTGGAGAAGGATAATGCTTCTAGAGAAGGGGTTCCCAACTTTTGACTCTCCAGGTGTTTGGAACTTCAGCTTCCAGAAGCCCCAGCCAGCTTGGCCAGTTGTCAGGAATTCTGGAAGCTTAAGTTCAAAACACTTGAAAGACCAAAGTTTAGGAACTGCTCTAGAGAATGAATTCCAGGATTGAAAGGATTTATAGGCATAGATTTCAGGCAACACAAGAAAGAATATAAATGTTCCTATAATCTTTGGAAGAGTTAAGGCACTCTTCAAAAAACAACCTCTTTATATAAAATGCACCGTTGTTGATTTTGGTGCTGACAGTGCAGCCAGATATTTTCTCCGTCTCCAGTGTCATTAGAAACTCTCATTTTAAAGTAACAACTAAGAAAATATGGCCCACTTACTGCATATTACTGCTTCTGCAGACATAAAACAATAATTACACAATAAGACAGCTTTAGAAACCTGATTACAAACCTATCATGCCTATCCTTTAAATTCAAGGCAAATGATTTAATTGGATGTATTTGTCTCTCCTGTTTTTACCAAGACAGTGTTTTGTTGCTGTCATGGCAGGCTCCTGAATGAGGGGAAATAGCCAGGCTAATGAGTAGGAAAAGGCTACATATCATTTCAAATTAAACTCCCACAATTCTGTTGAAATGACTGAGATAAAATTGATTAAAAAATGGCTTCCACCCAGTCCCATTGAGTGAACGGCTTTCAATAATGCTAAGCAGGGTGCGTATATTTGCAGAAGTTCAGAACACAAGACTGTTCAGTTTCAGTCAAGGTGGGGGAAATATAGCTTACAAGCTTTGTTTAGCTCTCCAAAGCTTCTCCAAACATTTATCTCCCATTCCTCATAGGCAGCAAGGGTGGCATTTTATTTTCATTTTTTTCATTACTTTCCCAGTTTATTTAGTTAATTTAGTTTGCCGGTCCAACACCAGATAATTATAGAGCTGGAAGAGCTCCCCATTCCCCTCTTTCACATAGTTTACTTGCTCTGATTCTTGTCACTCAAGGTGCCGAACACTGAAGCGATAAGCACGGCAAATGGTAGATTGAGGGGGTTATGGAAAGATTGTGGTTGAGCAGTGCCAAATCAGTTTATACAACCATTGTCAAGCCAGTAATGGAGTTTGGGGCCCCACAGCTTAGACTGACCCAACTTCTCAGCTGGCTCAAGGACATGCAGTTTAACTTTCAGCCATCCTGATCCAGAATACCTCAATGTGGATCAGCACTGACGTTTCTGAACTATAAAGATTGTATATGAGTGCCAGCTAGAATGAAACTTGCTTACCTTTGATAGCATTGTACAGTCCTTGATCTTTCTCTTAGCTAAAGCTTTAAGAGCATCTTTTAAGAGATCCTTTACCTTGATGTCCTTGGCGTTATCATTTCTGATAAGCACAATAAAATCAACCTATGCCACATCTAAAAGAAGTGCTTTTGGAAATCAGCATTTAATTCTTATTTTATCTTTGTTTTCATAATTCACCACTTGCACCTTCTGCTTTCTGCTTGTTAACAAACCTCTTTGGTAACTATTTTTGGAAGCATCAGCTGCATTTTATTTCAAATTCTGTTTACACATGTTTTCTGCAACTTCACAGATAACTGTACTGCCAACTTCACAGATAACTGTATTGTTTCTTGTTTTCAGTTAATATATTGTAGGTGATGAAAAGAAATATACTGACAACATGTTTTAGAAGCTACCACTCCCTGTTAAACCATTTATTAAGTATTTTGAAATCCTTGGGGGGAAAGAACCTAAATGAAACATACTTCATGATCCAAAAGTGTTAATGACAACCAATATGACAGAACTAGAAACACATGTAGCTCTCCCATTGAAATCAAGTCACCATAAAGGTACTTTGATTTGGCTAAGTTGTACCTTGATGTATTTACTACTGAAATATTTTGGTAGGTGGAAAGTGTGTTATCAGAGAATATATATAGCTCAGGAAAAACAGAGAGAATTGTTGGTATTGTGATCACCACACTGTATATAATGGCTTCCTGGGCAAGTCTACAAGCTAGTCTTTGACCTGGTTTACTTATTTCATGTCAAAAGCATTGCATAAATAAGTATAAAACTGATAAAATAGAGGAAGCACAAGTGGCTAATAATTTTTGACAAAATTTTGACAAGGTTTCATGGATTTATTACAATCTGAAATAATGTCTTTCAGATTAATGGCATCCATGGCCCTTTCCCATATACACATTAGGTACAATGTACATTAGCTTTTTCACTAATGTCTTAGTTTCTCTTTGTTGTAATGTCTTTCTGTATTTGTCCCAGCAAAGTGTAGTGTATGCATCTTAATTAGCCTACATACATATCCATATATAAATATGTTCATGAATGTGAAATTTGTGTAATCAGTGTATATTCAGAAGCAAAGAGTTTGGGGACTATTCTGTCACTTCTCCCACTTAAAGCAATAGGAAATATATTCAATAAATTTAACCCTAATGATAATGCAAAAGTTATAGATCTTTCTTTGAGTCGTATATTAGAGTTTGACCTCTGTGCTTCCTATATTTTCTCCCTCGCTTTTCTCCTCCAAAGTTAATCTGAGGGATTTTTTAAAAAATCTAGTTGCATAGGTAGAAAGCATGCAACAGCTCTCTGTTTTCAAAGCCAATTATTAATTTTAAACAAATGTAAAGGCTGCAATCCTAAACATGTGTGTTGGGGATTTAGACCTATTAAGCTCAGTGGTATTTCCTTCAAAGTAAGCATGCTTAGCTCGGCACTGTAGTATTCTGCCAGATCATAATCCATCAAATAAAGGGAGGGAGAAACAAAGTACAGCAGCTTAAAAGAGGGTTTAGATAGCTTGATAGCATGGAACTCACTGTATAGCTCTGGGAGCCACAACAGCCCTAGGCAGCATAATCAATGATGAGGAAAGCTGGAAGTTGATGTGCAACAATATCCAGATTCGTAGCCCTGGTGTATCCATTAGAACTGCATGCTCAACTGCATGCTCATAAGGCCTCCTAAGTGAAATTATTCTTATACCCAAGCTCAAGGACTAGAGAGAGTGAAAAGAAAACAGAGTAGACAGGGGAAGGATGGCACAGAGATTGGGAAAAGCTTTAATTAAGATAGGACAGTCAACCAGAGGGGAAGAACTGAATAGAGATTTAAGGAGCTGGGAATGCCCCCCAATACTCAAATAAAAATGCTCCAAAGTGATAAAGAAAATAGCAGCAACAATGTCAAAATAGAACTTTCAGTGATTTCCTATCTGGATCAAAAGAACTGTGTGAGATACAGCAGACTATGCAAGTCAGCTAAGAGTTATTTCACTACCTTATGAAATCTGATTTGGCTATGGTGGTCCATGCCCTAGTTATCTCTAGGTTGGATTACTGCAACATGCTCTACATGGGGTTGCCCTTGAAGACAGCCCAGAAACTATAGTTGGTCCAAAGATCTGCAGCCAGACTACTTATG